TTTATTAAATCAGTGGTTTGATTGGGGAATTCACATCATTTACCTATAAAGTTTTTTTTATTACTATTCAGGTATTTGGAGACTTGATAATCTTGGTATATTCTTGGTATATCCTGACTATATGGTATTATGTCTCAAGATTATTATGTATTATATCTGAAGCTCTTTAAAAATACGGTTAATGGTTATATTTAGAAATATTTTTATCTAAAGTTTTTTTTAACTTATTTTATTTGGTCTTTACATTTTTCTTGTAATCAATTTCTATCACGTCTTTCACTATAAGAGTATTATTTTTATAAATTAATCATGACCATATTGTTTTGTCACCTGCAGATCAGTTTTTACTTTGCTGATTTGCTGAAAACGTTTGACCAAAATATTTTAACATAAAGATGGACTACATTGGACTTTCAAAAAGGACTGTGACCAGACTGAATAAAATTTCCAGAACTCCTATGCAGAAGCTGACGGGTTTGCAGACTGTGGCTGATCCAGAATCATGTGGAACAGAAATTAACTACATAAGACTGAGTAAATGAAAGGAAACTCTTGATTTTATGGGAATATTGCTGATATTTTAAGGTCCTACTTTCTAGATATAAGAAACCATTTTCCTTTCTCCTAAATTATCTAACTAATGGGTTTAGATATTGTAACTCTTGAATTAGAAGTTCTTGTTGGTAAACTTAGCAAAGTTGTAACTATCATAATCAGATAAGTGTCTGAAGTTCGAGCTATAATTTTACAAAATAGAACAGCATTAGATTTCCTATTAGTTCTCTTGAGGAACAGTTTGTGCCTTAATAGATAAATGTTGCTATGTTTATAGTAATACTCAATCTGAGGTTTTCCAGAGTGTAGTCGCTGCTGAGGCACAGGAAAAGCCATTACTGATGCTGCTTATATATAGACAAACACCTCATGAGATTTATTTCCTTGGTTCAAAAACCTTAGGGTCATGGTTTCATTGGTTGTTTCAGATAATTGGCCTAATATTACTGTGTTTCTATTCTACCTCCTAGTTCGCTGTATGGTGCCTGGGATCTTAAAAACCAGATGGTGCCCAATTACCATTTATTGAGCATTTTTGATCAAAGATTCTATAACAAGATTATGATCCAAAGAAAGGAATGATGAAAGAGTTGTAATTCTCCTGGAATCCAGATTTCTGGCTTTCATGGAAGTTAGGGTAACCCACAGAGGCCATCACCTTTGAGTGTCCTTTTGAACCTCCAAGTTTAAGGAAAACACACACACACACACACACACACACACACATACACACACACAGAGATTCCTGAAGCCACTTTGAGTCAAACAATGTTCCAGATAAACTAGTAAGACCTTTTTGCTCAGGGCATTGTGGTTTTTTTGCACCATTCAGTCAGTTTTGGATCTTTGACTCCAAAGATCAGACTGAGAGCTATGTTTAAGGTAAGTCAGTAATTAGTTTAATCAGTCTTCAAGACAGTGTTGTATGAAATACCTGTCTAAAGTTTGTAATCAAACTGTCACCCTCTGACTATGCAGAAAATTATGTATCTCAAAGAAACCGGGTTCTCAGAGGAGATCAACCTCATCGCTCAGACTCTATTTTGTCTTAGGTTCCACTTCTGCTTCTGAGAAAGTGGCCCATGAGGAGGGGCAGCCTGCCCTTGGGAAGAACACTTAGTATGTTTAACAGCAATTAACTGAAGACCTCTGACAGGAGAGGTCATCTCCAACAGGAGAGGTCTGTGATGTATTATCTTGCTAACCATTAATTCTCTAATGGAAGCTTGGTTATCACATGTTAATTTTTCTATATTTTCTGTTTTCTCTAGATAAACTTTGTGTGTTCTTTAAAGATATGTGTTTTTGTGTGGTGGATCCAACTATACTAATTTAGATGATCTTTTCCAACTGATAGTGAATTTACATGGGCAATCTCTTGTTTAGATTCCTGATGAATGTGTGGGCAATGCACTTTGGGAACTTTAGGATTACCTTTAAATATTCATAGTAATGATGCTAGTAAATGTTGGAAAGGTAATGTTGAGTTGTTACAATTGTAAAATGAGAGTCAGAAGAAAACCCGTTGGTCCAACGCTCAGGGTGGGGTTGGTAGCTTTAATTCCTACTTATGGTATAGTTGAACTGGAGAAATCCTTAAGAAATTTGTCAATCACTCTGGGACAAATAGCAGACAAAGTTGCAAATGCGATGGAAACACAACAGCGATCTGTGACCTCATTAACCAAGGCAGCATGAGATAACAGAATAGCCTTAGATGTTTATTAGCCCAAGAAGGTGTAGTCTGTCCTGTAGCAAATACCTCTTGTTGCACTTAGATAAATAACACAAGACAAGTAGAACAAGATATACATAGAATTAGATTACAAGCTACTTGGTTACACACTGTAACACCCTTACAAACACCAGATTTATTTGTTTGGTTACCATCAGGAATAAGTACATGGGCTAGATCACTATTGCAAGGGGTAGTAATATTCTTAGTCTGCATCCTGATAGTATTAGACACAATAAAACTTATCTTCTGCTGTCTTACACACTAAAAGGCAAAAGAAGGCCTCGGGCTAAAATGTTCATGTACATTGAGTCTGCTCACTTCAGCAAAGCGATTGATGAGAACATTGCTCTTACTTAAGATCCTAGTGAAGAACCAGATGGTATCCGCTGGAAAACCAGCACCGTGAGTTTAAAGAGCCTGCCATGGCCGCCATCTAAGGGCTCCACTAAGTCCAGGTACTAATCATCAGTGTGTTATCTCCAATCTCTGATCAAAAGAAAATAATGATTTAGGAGATAATATTGAAGCTGTTATTCCCTGTCCTTGAGCATAAAGAATGTGACCCAGCTACAGCTGTACTCACAAAAACTCATAAAGACACATCAACTGGGCCCTGAGGTATAAAGACAATAGCTAAGACAATAAAAATCTTTTAGGGAAACATTCACATAAACAGGGCATAAAAGTCACTCTTTCTTTTAATATTTAGTAAATAGTTATAAACCAACAAGACGTCAGTAGCCATAATGAAAGGCCTGGGTCCAACATTTGCCCCTCCCCAAAAATATGCCAAACAATTCTGAGCCAGGCAATAGTTCAAAATGGACACTGGTCTTGAGTGACCAATGTCCAAAAAGAAATGGAAGGAGTGAGACAGAGCCCCCACAGTGTTGTATTAAAAACCCTGTTTCCTTTGCTGGGCTTCCTCCCCCACCCCACCCAGTTTTGCATTTGAATCCTGCTTTTGCTTGGAGGTTATATGTAAACCCCATTGCACCTGTGTAGTATGATTAATAATGTTGCTGACATAACTTGTATGAACTCCCTACTTGTAAACCCCTTTATAAGTAAATTGCCTGCCCACTCCTGGTGAGCAGTCTTGGCAACAGTAGCTCTGACTGACTCCGTTTCCTTGTATGACGAAATAAGTGTGCCTTTCCTGTTCTCCCACCTTGGTCTCTTGTTTATTGGCCAATATGAGTCATGCCGAGCAAGAACCTGGGGTTTCCACCTGGTAATGGAGAGGGAGTTAAATCTGTAGATGGGGGATATTAGACCTCTACTCCTTGGGCTGAGCAGGAGGTAAACTTTCAGGGAGAATTCACACTTGTTCCCTTTACCTTCCCGGAAGCCACCCATGATGTGGCTCCACCGGGTGATTTGAAAAGTTGACATATGGGGTTATGAAATACCAGATTGGCCAACACACACATATACAGGTGTGTTCTAGAGAACTTCAAGGAAACTGGTATTGGAGGTGGAGGATGGATGCATCTTGGCTTCTCCTCCCCTGCCCAGGGCCATTGATTAGGGTATCCAAATCCTCCCAGACACCCCTCAGGGATTCACCTGGGTGCTAGGGAGTCCTCTGCAGCAGAGGACTGGGCAAAAAGTAGGTAATCCAAGGGAGCTGGGTTCTCCAAAGGATCAGCACCCCATGCCCCAATGCTCTGCTGTAGCACAAACAGCTCTACCACCATCCCCTGACACACACACACACACACACACACACACACACACACACACACACACACACACACAC